TGTTTGATTTGTAACAATTAATTTGTATTCAAACTGTTTTTATTTTTTATAAATTATTTTTTATAAATTATATAATATATATATATATATACTACTAAGTACTAACTAATGTCAAATGTTTGGTTAAAATTTAGAAAAAAAATAGCTTAATACATATACTTCAATATCACATTATTTTATTTGTAAAAATGTTTTGTATATGTTACGTTTGCTTTTATGAACGACTTCAAAACGCAGTTTTACATGTAATAAATAAAATTTGATAAATTTATACTATTTGAACAACTCATTAACTCTTTTCTTTACTTACAAGGTATCAGTAACATTTATATGTGTCAGATTGTATTTGTCTTAACACTGTTATGACCATAGACGCAATTGATAACATTTCAAAATTTCATTGACTATTATTATGATATAGGTATTTAAGGTACAATTAAGTTGTAGGAAAAGATGGAGGGATATCGGTGGCAGAGCCTTTAGTCTATATACAACTATACATAAATCTAGCACACCCATAAATTTCACCCAAATTGCGCCTATGGTTAAGATCTATGCTATACTTACTAACATTTAGTTACAGGTTTTCACCTGTGTACATTATGGGTTTTTTTTTTTTTAATAAAAAAAAAAAAAAAATATTTTCATACAGCTTTCTAGCTTTTATTATTAGATTAGATAAACTGTTGTGTGATTAATAACTTTTTGAGCACCAAAGTTTGGTTGCGATGTCCTAACGGTCAATATCACCAATACGAAACTTGATATACATTACTACATTAGCATACCTACTTCACCATTTAAGTACACATACATTAGACATATCATATACGTTCTTCTGATACTTAAGGCTAGAAACTAACATACAAATAAAAAACAAATAAATGTGAAAAAAAAATGGTTTTTATTTTTTTATTCAGCTGAAAAACATAAAATAAATTAAATATAAACACAATTTGGTGTACAGTGAAGTTTCCAATTGAATACTTACAATCCCTGGTGTGACCATGGTCGGAATGATGTGAGTCCTGCAAATTACATGATTGTTAAAATCAACACACAAATAATTTAAACTTGCTTTACTTACATCATTGGTGACGCCAACGTTGGCCACCATCCCGGTGATCTCCTCAACGTTGGCGTCGTCCCTGCTTGAAGGCTCTTCCACCACCACCACCTGCTCCTCGACCTCAATTTTGTCATCTGGAGCTGACGGTGATGGTGGATGTCTCACGCGGTTTGGCTTACGGGGGGCTGAAAAAATAATGATTATCAAAACAAATGATTAACAATACACATGAAATGTACACACTCACCGAGACAATCCCGGGCAAGGTGCCCGTATCGGGAACAACTATAACAACCTGGAACATAAAATGGACGATACACCTATTAGTAATGGCACTTAATCGTAATTAGTATAAATCTACTCACGTCTTTTATTGATTTTTTTTCGCGGCCCTATATTCGCGGCCTTAATCCCCCTATACCGGTTGTGGTTAGGGGGATTTCTGACTGGTTCGCTTTGCTGGTATACGGGTGCATTAAACACCCGTACACCAGCACCGGTAAATGTCATTTTCAAATTTTGTATGAATTTCATTCTACATTTCAAAAACAAAACAAATTAAAAAAAGTTACGGCACGGTTATTGAATATTGGTAGTGCGCTAACAAACACAATTATTTACTTTTAAAAAAATTAGTCATGTGCCAAAAACTTAATCAGAACACATGACATACAGTAATCATAGAATATTAGGTAAAGTTAATTCAACAAAAGCTTGAGTTTTCAAACACATAATATTCTACAGACGCGTGCACGTAGTCCAGATGAGTGGATACCCGCATAATATTATATTGTCTCCGTCTTACACGAATGTAGGAAAAAAAAGCCACCGAAAAAAAGCCAAGAAAAAAAATCCGTGGAAAAAAAAGCCACGGGAAAAATAATCAAAGGAAAAAAAATCCACGAAAATAATAGTAATGAATGTATTGATTTTACAATGTGTATTTTTATTATAAATTTAATAAATTTACTTATTTAATATTTTTAACTTCTACTTTTCTGGTGGGAAAATATTTAAATACAAATTTTATACTATGTAATAATATAACTTAATATTGGTTCATATTGCAACATGTACTTTTGAAAAAAATCACCCTGTACGGCTGTACAAAGTATATAATAATCAAAAAAAAAGTAAAACAAGGTTTATTGAGGTATAGTATAACTTAATATTAATTATAGTTCATACTGCAACAGTGCGGCATGTAGGTACCTACATTTAAAAAAAAAATCACCCTGTACATAGTAGATACGTTAAAAATAACTAGGTGTAAGAAATAAATCAATCAATTGATCATCAAAAAAATAAAGAAATTGCCCACCTCTTTTTCCTCCTGAACAATGGAACACTCATAATTTGACGTTAGCAGATAGTGATCGTACAAATAACCAAACCGAAGGTTGGAATAACCGTTTTTCTAGACTGGTCGGCCACAAGCATCCAAGTATTTGGGTGTTAATAACTAAAATTAGGTTAGAAATTGCTTCAGAGGAAACCAAGTTGGCACAGCAAACTCTAGGATTATTAAGTGACAAAAGAAATTTACCACAATATGAAAAAAGCCAAAAAATATTGAAAAATCTCTGTTTGAAATCAAAGAAGAAAACAAAAGCTTACCAGAATTTTTGAGTAGCACACACAATACGTTTTTATTGATTTTTTTTAAAATTTTTTATTTGACTATTACCTTTATGTTTTTGTGTATTATTATAACTTGACTTTTGCATACATAATTTTTAACTGCAGTAGCACTACTTTGCATACTACTAGCATATTTTTGTATATAAACTTTGTACTATTTTACTATTTTATAACTAAAAACGTTTTAATGTTGAATAATAAATAATAACATAACCTTAGCGGCTTAGCTGTGTATAAACAATAAACATGTGTGTTAAACATTTAAAAAAAAATTATTTAAAAATTATTAATTTATAATTATTATAAAATTTGGATTTTTTTTCCGTGGCTTTTTTCCTGACTACCGTCTTACACACGTGCGCAACAATATCTATGTTCTCTAGATCGACTATTTATGATATTACAAATTTTAAGCGAGTTAGCACAGTTATAACAAATATAAGACAATGATGCACAGATAATTTTCTTACCACATGACTATTCGATAATACCTAATAGGTAAATTCACTCGAAAATTACAACAAATAGCACACTATTAAAAGAAAAACAGTAAAAGAAAATCATATTTCACCCGCGCAAATCAAATATAACACGACATACAATAATCATAGTATATTAGGTAAAGTTAATTCAACAAAAGCTTGAGTTTTCAATCACATAATATTCTACAGCTGTGGTCCAGTTAAGAGGATACCCGCATAATATTATGTTGTCTCCGTCTTACACACGTGGGATATAGTTAACTATCGATCGACGGTTTCAATAGTGTGCTATATATTAATTTTACAGTGGACTCAACTATTATTATTATTGATTGAAAACTAATATAAGAACATAATCTGTGTCCTCTCGATCGATTTTTTACGACATCTGAATTTTTAAACGAACTATGTGTATGTGTAATGTAAAATATAATGTCAAATATAAAATAATAATGCACAGATAATTTCCTAAATAAAATAATAATGCACAGGTAATTTCCTAAAATATTTATAAAAACCAATTACGAACAGCGCACTATTTAATCTGGTCAACTAAAATTTACTACGGAATACGATTTACACTCATTCAAATGCACACGTGCCGATAGCCATACATTCAGGCATCATAAACAACTAAACGAAATTATTGTATAATAAAGGGGTGTTTAATTATTGATCGAAATACAATTAAATATATTCTATAAGTATTAAAAAGTGTTTGAGCATAAATCATTTTACTCAAGCAAGTTAAACAAACATGAAAAAAAAAACGGGACACAAGGCCAGTATAAGAAGGTACATATAATAAGCAATTAAATACGTTTACTTACTCGAACAGCGTCCAAATGTCAAATGAAATATGTCCAACGTTTGTCACCGATCATACAGCCTGTCCGCAAAAAATGGATTTCCCATCACTCCATTAAATTAGATGCGACATCGGTCGTATCGACAATTACCCGATAACGCGAAAGCTTCGTGTGAGAGAGATCGATAGTGACTACAGGTAGACAAACAGAGACCGTCACGATACACGCGCCTTAGATATCATCATTATTGGTCATTAGTCATTACACACCGTTCGACCGAATTATACGTTTTTACGCTGACATAATTTTTCCCTTCAGAAATTATTATGTTAACAATATCATACTTATGAATACACGTATAGACATACTAATTTTTTAACGTATACGAAAGGTATAACCGCGTACGATCCATATTATATTTGTTAACGATGGCTGTAACATTTAAACTATTACTGTGACATTTAAGTAATAAAGTCATATTTAAGTAATAAAGTAATATTTATAAGTCTGCAAACATAATCACCCAGTAGTTACCCCTTACTTGTAATGGCATTACAAGTAAGCCGTTTTCTGGAACAATTATAGTTTCCATATTTGAAATATTTCTATTTAAATAAGACGTTATTTCACTGCACAATATTTTAATTTTATTCTTAAGCTCGCAATATTTCTCTCTCATTACGCCCAAAGCTATCTCAATAACATAATTATCTAGCCACATTTTTTTTTCAATCTCATGAATTGATAGTGAGTCAAAGCTACTGAAACATAAATCATAACACTTAGTTATGTCTGTAACTCTATAATAACATCCGACTATATAATCTAATCGTGTTCCGTATTTCTTCAAAACAGGGCCATAATAATTTTTATCCTTTGGTAATCTGTTTTTGTATAAATCCATTTTGCACCGTAGACCATCTACTGGAGATTTGTAACTTTTTATAGAAACAATAGATTCTGATAATGCCCTTGTATTTGGAGTTATTTACTATTCCGTCATCTGTTTTTTTGGGAATCAAGTAAGAGCAAATTTACATTCGGTGAAATACAAATCCTATCATCTTTTATATTATCTATCGGGGATGAATGCTTTATAACTATCTGTGTCTGAAGTTTCTTTGTTGCAGCTTTTAAATGAAACTGGAAGTAGAAACCCGTTTTTTTCTTTCTAGGTCCCCAATGTTCTTTTTCCTCGTTATCATCAGATGATGACGAAACCAAACTAATAAATGATGTACATTCTATTTTTGCAGTTTTCTTTTGTTTATTTTGGACCGGAGGAAGTGAACAATAATTTGAAGGTATATCTAGCAGTACTTCTTTACATTTACTCAATATAATACTTCTAGTAAGTTGAACAAATCTTCCACATTTCATTCGCCGACATTTTTTGTTGGTTTTTAAATCTCCAAACCAACTCTCTGCTGGAGCATTGCTTGCTCTATCTGTGGACCCATATACTTTGAACCGCATCACGCCTGTCCACATTGGAATCACCGGAATGATAGACCCCATGATATCATTGTGAAATCCAACGCTATACAATGGATTTTCTTCAAAACTAGAACACATTTGTAATGTTTCTTTTACCCGAACAACTATATTTTCAAAACGGGACAAAAATTTGGAATCTTTGTACCGGTAAAACGTCTTAGCATCTCTTATTTGTTCATCTAATGTAACATTTTTTTGTTTTGTGATTAGATCATCAACTAGACCACTTGGATTATCATCATTGAGCTGCTTCAAGATCTCCATAGCATCATCCACATCTCCAGTCTTGCTGGGTGACAACAACACCGTTGTAACTGCAGTGAACCATTTGTCCAGACATTCCGTGGTGGTTATGTTGAAAGCTGGAGAGATACACGCAGTTGTCAAGCACGCCAAAGAGCCATTTGTCATCTTCATTCCATTTTCTTTGTAATATTTATGAGCATCGTCAGAGATATTTTTGATTAAATGACAACAACAAATGATCAGTGCGTTGCAATTAAACAATTTCCCCTCATACATGAACTCATAACATTTATTCAAATATTCAACGACCTCGTTACATTCGTTGAATGCTCTCACAAACCCTTTTAACCCTCTACAGGCAAGGCCCGGTCACGGGTGACCGGACTAAGATAAGACATTAATAACTAGATTATAACATTAAATACTATGCACCGGATTATCCCATACCCTTTTATAGATAAGCCCACCGTTTGCCTGATATATTTTTGTTTATCTGCTATACCTCAGTAAGCTTCCAGCTGTCGAATAAGTTAAATCGTTCTTGTCGTCGGTCACGGACGACCACGCTTGTCTATCACGTAAGTTTTTTTTAACCTATTCTGTTTTCTATTTCTGTTTGGTATTTTTGTAATATTTGTATTTTTTTTTGTATTCAGCATGGACACACTTCTAAAAAGTGTCGATGACATTACAGCAGAGCTTTACCGACAGTTGGATGAAGATGATTTATCCGATGCCGATGATTCGTCGAGTGAAACAGAAGATCATGTTTTAGAAAACGATAACGTCATAGCAGACGACTTTCAATTATCGTCTGACGAAGAGTATGATGAAGAAATAGAGGCAGATCGTGAGTTTTTTTTGGGAAAAGACCAAGAAACTATTTGGTCATCTCAACCACTTAGCTCAAAGTACTCCAGAACTCCTAGTCGTAATCTAGTTATACGCTTGCCCGGGCCGAAAGGGGACGCGAAAGGTGAACTCAAAGAGGTCAATTGTTTTTCTCTTTTTTTGACAAATTATATGATTGAAAAAATTGTCCAATATACGAACGAAGAAATCGCGATTAGATCTCAAAATTATACAACTAAACAGTATTATTTAGGACCCACTAATGTCGTTGAAATTCGGGCAATTATCGGACTTTATTTGAAAGCAGGGATATATCATGGAATATCCATGGCCGATTCATTCTCGGTTGAAAACGGTCCTTCATTATTCCGTGCGGTAATGTCATTCAATCGTTTTAAATTTTTGACATATTGTTTGCGGTTTGATAGCAAATCAACGAGAAACGAGCGACGATTGGTTGACAAGTTCGCTGCATTTCGAGAGATGTGGGACTTATTTACTATTCAGTGTAAAAATAATTACACCCCTTCGGAATATGTCACTGTAGACGAAACATTATTGTCATTTCGAGGACGATGTCCATTTAAAATGTACCTACCAGCAAAACCAGACAAGTACGGTCTCAAAATTATTTCTATCTGCGATGCCAAAACTTTTTATTTTTATGGAGGAATCCCGTATATTGGCAAAGAAACACGCAACCGAAATGATCTACTTATACCTACCCAATATGTTCTGAACCTAGTGGAACCAATCATGGGAACAAACAGAAATGTCACAACCGACAACTGGTTCACCTCTATTGAATTAGCAGAACAGTTACGTGTTAAAAAATTGAAATTAGTAGGTACATTGAGGAAAAATAAACGCGAAGTTCCTCCACACATGCTAGTCGTAAAAAATTTACCACCGATGACCACAAGATTTCTGCATGCACCTGAAATGACATTGTTGTCTTTCTCAAAAACCAAAAATAAAAACGTTTTAGTGCTTTCGACAATGCATGAAACTGAGACGATAAACGAAATATCGAAAAAACCGGAACAAATCGAATTCTACAATAAAACAAAAGGAGGTGTTGATGTATTTGACAAACTTTGCCACCAATATTCTTCAACCAGAAAAACCAACCGATGGCCATTACGATATTTTTATGGACTTTTGGATGCAGCCGCTGTAAATGGATACGTCATTTTCAAACACAATAACTTGAACCAAGACAAACGTTTTATACGATCAAAATTCATAACAACATTAGCGTTTCAATTGCTGGAACCACAATTGAAAGTACGCCAAGAATGCCCCTTTTTACCAAAGGATTTGAAAGGAACTATTGAAAAAATATTGAAAATACAACCAATTGAAAGTGCACCATCTGGAATAAATCGTCACCGCGGTCGTTGTGAATTTTGCCGAAAAATGTCTGTGGACCGTAAAGGCACTTCAAACTGCACTAAGTGCCATGGGAGTTTATGCGCCCAGCATAGGCTAAGCATATGTTCAACATGTGACCTAAAATATCAGTTATTAGAAGAAGAAAGTATGATGGAATAATATATATTATATAATAATAGGTATTATTTTGTTTCATTTAAGTTCTTTTTATATATTTATAAGATACAAGATGTTTTTTTTTTGTTACAAGATTCAAGTTGTTTTTTTTTATTTTTTTATAAATATATATTACCATTGATTAAACTTTAGTATGCATATTAGTATTAATTATGATAAGTAAAAATAAAGAGATTTATAAAAAAGTTTGATTATTTCTAATATAAAATTACATTCCCAGACAGCAAAATCATATTATTTAAACATTTTAAGAATATTAAGAAGTTAATATTAATGTTTCCAGAACGTTTTAATTGCAGTCATATAATATTATTGAAACTTTTTTAGAATATTATACCGTCATTATTTGTCCTACCTTTTTAAATTTCTTAAAATGTTATGAAACTAACTTTTTCCAAATATTCTTGTATTGATCTGATTAAAATAATGTTTATGACGTATTTTCATAATATTTCAATTGAATTTCATTTTTAATGTGCTTTTAACAGAGCCCTTAGTTAGGGTAGCAGTAAGCCCCAGCACCGATATATTTAGGAGCCCCCGTTCCCCAATATTAATGTAATGCAGTCATATATGTTTTATTTATATCAATAATCAATATTAAAATTATAATTAATAATTACTTATAGACCTATGCATGGTAGGTATATATAATTTATCTTAAAAAATAAACTACACTGAATAAAGTGATATACCAAAAAAACTGAATTTAAATTTTATGTAAAGGGACCCCACCAAAAATTAAAAAGTAGGGCTCTGGCTTTTAAAAAATGTCCATGCGATATTTTCAAAGTGCACTACTAAGGTTCAGTTTAGTAGACTATAGTCTATAGCTTTTTATAACTTATTATGCTTAACATTTTTAAATTCTCACTAAAAAATATCTAGTATGAAAATAAAATATATTGATTGATATAGATGATTAAAATTGTGAAACTACAAATATCTGGATTATTTATTATTCCAATGGTTAATACAATTTGAATTTAGGATCGATGAAATAAAAAATAATTGTGTTTAATAATTAGAATTCCAGACGTTATACAAAATTATTACAATAATAAATACAGATAAATAGAAATCAGAATATAAATTTATTAAACTGCCAAACATGTACCTACCTATCATAATTAGGTAGGTAAGCACCATACATTTGTTTGCTGTTTAAAATATATTTTGATAAATTATTTATTGTTTTTGCTCTTGCATATAGCATATAGCATATTTTACTATTTTAGGGTAACTACCAATTATATGTTAGAACCTGATATCTATTATATTATAATAATTTATTAATTTAATGAAAATAATATACTAAACACTATTTTAAAGAGAACTTTTCTATCTTTATTATAATTTTCATTCAATTACATAACTGTTTCTGTATATAAGATTTGAAAAAAAAAATTAACAATGACAAAATGAATTATACAAATATGCCATACTAGCTATTGATCATTATTATTACTACATTATGTGTGCACAATACTAGTTTTGTTTAATATCCTAAATTTTGCATGGGCCAACCAAGTTGACATTGGTGTATCAATTTCCTTGTCAATGATGTTTTTATATTTGATGTGAACCCTTAAAGCATCTGAAAATTAAATATTATTAATACATCAATTAAACTAAAAATTATTTGATTAAATAATTACCAATGATTAATCGATAGCTTCCAAGTAGCGAAAAGTTTTTTTTTTTTTTAAATCCCAAAAGTGAATAGTTTATTATAAGTTCATCACAAAACATTTTTAACATGATACGTCGTACACTATCACCAATATCTTTCACTCCAATCAACAACGATAGTTTTGATACCTAAAAAATATAAAGTAAAATTTAATTAAAATATACATATTCAGATATACATTATAGATGTATAAATTAATTAAAAAATAATAGGCATACCATATCTGGTCTAAAATTTTTGTCAAATAGCAGTTTTTGTTCAAAATCATCAAGTTCATTATCTGTCTTAAGGGGGAATATTTCAATTATATTAGTGGATTGTGTGATATTGTTTGCCAAGTGTGCGGTAATGGTTTCACCAGATGTATTTAAAAAATGTTGTAATGCAACATGTGATGCATTCATTGTATTGCTCATTGTCATTTGATCATATTTTAATTTAGTCAATGTATGTATAACAAAGTTTTGAAATTCTAAAATATTGTAAAATAAAAATTAGTTTGTAAATAATATTATAATGTTACAATATTATTTGTACTAAATAATTTAAAAATAATGGATTAATACTATATTCCATGTTAGGTTAGGTTAGGCATCCCAGGCAACCAAAATAACTTAATGATCAACTATATACAATATGTTTGAAGTTTAGTGGCTATATAATATATGTAATGATTGCTAAGTAGTAAGTACATATTACAACTGTAATATACTATATCATAGAGTATATTTAATGCATTAAGTATTTATAAGAAAATATCATAAAATAACACATACCAGCAGTAGACATTAGAGGAAAATCGTTTTTTGGTGAAGTAATTATAGTCTGAGAATATGTTTTTGTTTTCTTAAAACCTTAAAACACATATAATAAAATATTTAAACAAATTATATAATAATTGATAGTATAATATAGGAAATTAAATTTAAAATATGAAGGCTATTTTAAACATATAACATTTTTATCAATGTTTCAGTCAATATAGATTAATAGATTATAAACTATATAATATATACCTAATATGAAAGGAGCTAATAAAAATAATATATAATTATTCATACAGCATAATATACATTTATAATGCATATAATATATATTTATTATATACCTGAGAATGGTGGAGTGGTCGGAAATAAAGATCTCTTTACTAATTTTGGTGTTATTGTTGCTGTAGACAATTGCAGAACTTTTGAAGAGATGTCAGTGCCTTGTCGTAGCTGGTCTAGATTGAAGGCACCAGAAGTTATAGTTTCAGCTATAATTTTTGCAGTTGGTGTTTTGACAACAGCAATTGCACTCTCTGTAAATTAAAAAAAAATTATTGCACAATATTTTAATAAAAAAAATCTTCATTTTAGTATCTATTACATATTTAAGGAATTATTCTTTAGCACGGGGTGGTTGCTATCTGATAAACAGTTAGAGGCAGGCAGTAATAACTAAAAATTAAATAGATGCCTACTAAATATATTAAACCAACTTAATATTGTTTTGATTGTTCAACTTTTGTGTTTGTGGCATTTCAAGTGTTCAGCCAGTAATAATAGTATTCTAGTTTTTTATAAAGTAAGTGATTTATAATATTTGTAACTGGTAAACAGTTAAAGATAATTACGCTCAAATTAGTATTTTTCGTAAGGTGAGGTTACTGGCTTTATTTTTTTTTTACATATTTTGGGGCGTCGTGACACTAAGAAGGATGACTCGATGCATAAAGTAAAATAATTAATACTAATAGGTAATTGAATATTTAAATAACTATACCTTTTACAACTAAAGGTAATTCATACTCTGTATCTTTCTCAAATTCATCTAATAAACTGTCGGTTTCTGGATTAGATTTTGAAGCAGCAATTGTAAACACATCATCCGGTTTATTTTTTTTTTCTAACAATAGAAACGTTACATATTAAAAGTTAATTTAAATTAAAATACTTAGGCAATCAAAGTTCAAATACTCACCATCACGTTTTAAAGAAGGAGGACAATCTACCTTGGTTTTATTCGATAGAAATTGTTTCTTTACCTTATTGCTTTTACTATAATGTCTATCATTCGGTGTATCCTCATTAGTTGACAAATCAGTCATATAAACGGCAATTTTAGATTTTTTACGGGCTTCTTCCAAGTTTTCTAAGCAATTAATCAATAGATAATTATCAATTTAATAGTTATGTATTTTACATTGTTTATACAGTTATATTATTATTATCATTAGATTTTACCATATGATCGTCCTAGAGTTCTGGATTCCATCCATTTGAAATTTAGTTCATCAGGATATTTTTCCTTCTCAATGTACTTTTTTACTTTATTTTTTGCCATAGGCCATGCACATAGTTTGGTATTTTTATTGAACCAAGTAACTGGAACTGATTCAACACTGTCATCCCCAAAAAAATGCACAACAATCCACGTCATGGTTTTTTTCTATATACATATTATCGTGAATAAATTAAAATAAAGATTAACATCATAATTTTACAAATAATTATACCTAATAATTTTAAATTATTCCAAATCATATAAATAAGAAAAAATTAGTAATAATAAATTAAAATTAAATTAAAACTAAATACAAAATAATTATTGAAATTATATTTTACAACAATGTATTAATTTAAGACATTTTAAGTATGTATTATAGGCATTGCAATTGAATTTCTATTATGCATAATTAACATTATTTTCTTTTTTACATTATTAATTGTATAGGATTTTAAGCGCTGTGATAGATTTTCTACAATATATATGTCAAATTCTGTTGAATCCGTTGGTTTCTCATAAAACAATTTTTTTGTTGTAAAATGTTTTCCAATCAATACTGTTTCATTATTTTGTTGAACTATATTTAAACACTTAAAAACTTCTCCATCTGTTGTTAAAACATAGCTATCTTTATCAAATTTTGTATTTATTGTAATATTTTTTAAGATCATTTTTTTATACTGACATCCATTAACATTATTGATTAAAGGACCATTGTTGTGAGGTAGTAATAATATTGGATGATTTGTTGTATTTTTAAATGACCCAATGAACGACTTTTGACTATATATTTCTGAGTATCGGTTGATTACTTGTTCCAGTGGTTTTTCGTGTTTTCGTATTTTAGATTTTAATTCTTTCATATAGTTTTCGAAAGGAAATGCAGAGCAGTTATCAAGAGGGCCATAATATTTAAAATCGTCACACAAATGTGATAAACCATGAATATTATGAGAATTGTGTTCACGACCATATAATATTTCAAATGTTTTTATAAAATAATCTAAAAGTTCTTCGGCATATGGTACATAGTTATGAAGATTTGGACTGAGCAATATAATCATAGAAATATTTAACGACATAAAATGATTATAAAAATCATCATTAATTATATTTTTAAGTACAATAGGGCCCACGTACAATAAAAATAATCTTAATTCTGTAGCTTTCCACCTGGATATTTCTTGAATTTCTCTGGTTTTTCTCACAAAATCTGATGGAATATAACATTTGACAGCCAATAATGCTTCTGTTAATTTGTGTACATTGCGACTGGGTATACGAACATTCAATGGTCCTTTATGTAACCACAACATTATCAATTTTTTTACTACTCCTAGACAAACAAGATGCATATAATCAAGTGCAAATGTATGAACCAAATCGATCCCTGGCAACTCAACAAGGTTTGAAATAGACTCAGCTACATGATGTTCTTCATATGTCATATTTTCATATGTTTCATGTGTTCTTTTAGTAGATTTACTATCAGAATATGGGAAACAAATACGATTTTGATAATATTCCCCTTCTGCAATACAACGGTTGCAAGAAGAATATCCTGAGTGACCTTTCGTTTTTAATAAAAACGATCTTGCCGGCGCGTCACAAACAAAACTATAAATTATCACTTTTATAATACAGCCATTAATTTCTATACCATTTGTTATCAGATCTTTGGTTTCAGCAACAAAATCTAATAAAAAATCATTACTGTCTTTCGGTTTAGATTTTCCAAAGTAAATGCCAACAGGAAATACATTTTTGTCCATACCAACAATATATGCCATAATAGGCCAAAATTGACTATTATTGCTTTTAGCTAAGGGTAAGCCATCGATGCCAATTGCAATTTTTATATCTGTTAAACTACTTATAGCATATCGCCGAATTCCTTCTGCCAAACCAAAGTGATAATATGACCCTGGAGTTACGGTACGAATAAATCGTTCCGTAGATTTTGGTGTGACTAAAAGTGTTCTACAATCATTTGGCAAATCTTGTGTATTTATATTATCTTGTCTTTTCAATAACTTCAACAACTTATTTACTGTAGTTTTTGGAACATTACATTCTACTGCCCAAATTCCCAATTTTTCTTTAAAAGAATTATTTATATCACTGGCATTTGTAAAAGAATATAAATTATTTTCTTCATTTTCTTCATTGTCTAACTGAGAAGCAGAAGTTATAGTTTCTTGTGCACAAGGTGTAGAATTTGCCAAGTGGGGAGAAATATTGTTATTATTTTTTCTAGTTGATGTTGATGGCAAATTAATTATTTTATCAAATTGAATGTCTTTTCCCGTACACGCATTTATTTCCACTGTTCCATGATTATTAGTTGGAAGTGTATTGTTTTCATTACTATATAGATTATTAATAAAATCTAACTCTTGTCGAATATTCCTACTTTTAGATCTTTTACTTTTGAACATGGTAAAGTAATATTATATCAACAGACAACAAGCACTTCTAAACAATACCTAATAATAATAATAAAACAATTAATTTATATGTGCATTGTGCATAGTAGTACCTAATACATATTATATTTAAAATTAAATCCATAAAAACTTATAAATAATTGATATTGAAAATTGTATACATTAATTTAATTTCAAGAAAATGGGTTTATATGGATATTTATATTTTGAATTGTAAGAACCATATTTTAGTAAAATATTTATAGAATATCTATGACATCTATAACCATAAAGTAATGTTCAAAGTGTAGTTTTTAATATTTAAGTGTATGTACATTTATAATATATAGATAGGTATATTATACTTACATAAATGTATATTTTACCCAATAAATATCTCATGCACTTAGATAAGTACCACAATACAATAGACACATAGCTAAGGGGGCCCAGGGTGTGTCTGGCCCACCCAAAATATTCCTTGGGGTCAATTATTATACTACATATTTTAATTTCTACCACCTAAAAATTATCTTACTCTTTTCCACCATCTAATTAACCCTCATATCACTGATTATTCCAGTATCCTAGCGGTGAGCAGCATGTGAAAGGACTTTGTTTTGTCTAAGAAGATTAAAAAACTACACGAGGAATCTTATGTCAAATGACAGACTGGTCCGATTGTCAAGTGTTTTTATTGAAAAAAATTTCCAAAAGTTTGGAACTAGATTAATTTGTCAATAGGTTCTCTATAAAATGTAAAAATAGAAAAATACTTTTATATACTAGAACATTAATAAATTATATTGATTATTGTATGTCATTTACAAAATGTCATCTATTTCTATATAATATGTTTTGGATATTTAGATTTTATTGACTGTTGTTATATTCAATATTGTAATGTATTAACTATTATCATTTTAAAAGATGAATTTTAAAATAATGAATGTTCATTGTTATTCAAGTTGTTATTGTTATAATAATTATTAAGAGCATTTGAATTTGATTTTTATTTGTACATTCATATAATAATTTATGTATTTATGGTATTTTTAAATTACACTTATTGTCATTATTATAAAATAGGTATGGAATTATTAGGATAATAGGTATTTGTAGTAGTGATGTGTTGATAACTACCTTTTTATAACATAAAAAATGTCGAGCAGGGGGATCCCACCTAATGAATATTTTCTGGCTACGTGCCTGGCTCTACAACAGTACAGGACAAATTACATTTTAACACTAAATAAATATTTAAATATTTACAAATTTGATTTTTATATATGTATATAAATTTAATTTATATCAAACTCCATGCATTAGTAATATAAATACCTATAATAATATATCTACTAAAACAATAATTTCAAATTAAATTCAGTAAATATATTAACTGCACCTACTCCATTACTAATTTAGATTTTAGATAATAATAAAATAGGTAGGTACATATGATAATTATTATTATCAGTGGCGGATCTACATACGGGGCAATATGGGGCAGCTGCCCCAGGGCGCCGGTTTAAAAGGGCGCCTAATGGACCAATGGGTTGACTATATTTTCAAACAAAATTTAAATGTAGACTCTAGTCTGTAAGACTGTAGCTGATGCGAAAAAAGTGTAAAGTACTTTTATTTCTCACACATCAACAAATATTACACTTAAAAGAAAATCGGATACTCGTTGGTCTGCTAGATATGATATGTGTTTCAGTCTATTAAAAAATTGGGATTCTGTAGTTACATCTCTTATCAACATTAGAGATTCTACATCTAAAAAAGCTATAACCAAAAATGAAGCAAACGGAATTTTTTTGCATTTAAATAAATTGGAAACTGCAATTTTAGTTTTATTCTGGAGTGATGTGCTTGAACGATTTAACCTTACAAACAAGAAACTTCAGTCTATTTCAATAGATTTAATAACCGTATCAAATTTATATAGTTCTTTGATCAATTATGTCAAACAGTTGACAAGTACAAGTATTTTTGAACAATATGAAAAAAAGCATTATTATTATCAAATGTTAAGGAGTATCATGAAAATAGAAAAAAGAAAAGAAAACTTGCTCATGATGAAACAAGAATGAATGAAATAGTTCAAGATTCTAGAACTAAATTTCGAGTGAATACTTATATTGAAATTGTTGATCGCTTAACATCTGAATTAGAGAGAAGAAAAATTGCATATGATGAAATAAATAATAATTTTGGATTTTTGTTTAACTTAACTAAATTGAATTCTGGTGAACTGACCAATTGTGCTAATTCATTACATAAAAAGTATAAAACTGATCTACCTAGTTCATTTGCAAATGAATATTTCCATTTTAAAGGCTATTTAATATCAAAGTCAAAAACTCAACCCATGACTATACTTGAAATGCAACAATTTATCATTGAAAATAAAGTTCAAGAGGTTTTTCCATACATAGAAATTGCAACCAGGATGTTCTTGAGTATTCCAGCAAGTAACTGTTCTGCTGAAAGGTCATTTTCTGCATTGAAACGCATTAAAAACTATTTAAGATCTAAATTAAATGAAGAGTTGTTAAATGATTACGCCATATTACATATTGAAGCAGAGTTAGTAAAAACCATCGAGTTTGATTAAGTGATTGAGAAGTTTGCTTCAACAAAAGCCAGAAAAAAATGCATATAGTTTAAAGTTATAACTTATAATAAAATATTTGTGTATATATAAATTTATAAATGTATGTTTCTATCGTTCATTATAAGTTACTGATAGTCATTTTTTGAAAACATTTTTAAAAAAAGATATCCATATAGGCACAACTGCAGTCAAAATATTGTCGGTCCGTCCAGACATCTAGTTAAAATATTTTATACAAAGTTGGGGGTGAGGGGGGGGGCGCCAAAAAAAAGTGCCCCATGGCGAAAAAATGCTTAATCCGCCACTGAATATTATAATATACTTACATTCGTATTCGAGTAAGCTAGTGATGGGTAACTCACGTTTCACAACTTCACAGTCAGAAGTCAGTTACTCTGTTCACGAAACAGTTCACGTTCACAAATCACAAGTCACAATACTAATAATTACTAATATTCCAAATTCAAATGTCGAATAACTCGCCAGTCGACCGTCGCGCGTCGGGATATGATATGCTAGTGAAAGGGAGGGGTCGCCGGGTGAAGGATGAACAATAAACAAATCGCCCGGCTTCCACGAATGAACCGGTCTGGGTTTTAATCACGGATATAGATATTAGATATCTATATCCGTGGTTTTTATTAATTTAGGTACCTATGTCTATTTGTAATTTATATGAATGCAGGTCCGCACTCCGCACGGCCTATAAACTCGGTGCCGCGGTGTCTGTGGCATAATTATATACTGGAATGGGAATCAATACAATATAATCTTACCGTATGAAGAGTGAAGACACATACAATTAAAAATAAATGATAATCCATGAGAATTAACAATTCATACTTGGATACCAACTGATAGATGATAATATTATAAATATATATGAAAGTAACGACGATGTATTATTTTGTGTTAGCCATCACGGCAAAACCACTAAATGGATTTCAATGGTAAACCTAATAATAATAATAGCAATTAGCAACTATTATAATAATTAGGTATAGTTAGGTAGGTATATCAAAATAATCCTTGAGACTAGTAGTATTTTAAGTTTCTTTTTTGAAACTAAAGATTCCTATAGGGTGGTTCACACTGCTTACAATCTCACACATCAATTTCGTATGAGCTTAAGACGATGATTTAAAATTTAATATATATTAATATATTATATCTTGTTATTCTATACGTACTTACTATAATTTATAAATTACCTATACTTAAAACGACGCAGGGACGCTACATGCCTACATAGATATTTGTTGTCTTCGTTTTACGAGTAAGTAACATACCAAATTGACTGTCAGTAGACCACGTTTAGCTCCGTTAGTTTAAAAATTAGAGTGAATCGACCTATTATGAAACTATTGATGGTAAGAACATTATCATGTTTTTTAAGTCATAGGATATCATGAATGCCATAGCGTTGGCCAATTGACATTTGTTGTAATGCTATAGCAGTCATGACCTTCAATGTTTTTAACTTGCTAAAATATTAAATACTATCGTAGTAGACAGTAATATACATTTGTATGTTCACAGTACGCTTTTTTTTATTTCACCACGGTAATTTCATCACGTTCAAGGGAGTATGTCCGCCTAACACACACTGAATTTACCGTAACACAAATCACGGGGATATTACATATAGGCGTACCTACTCGCTGTCCACCTATTTGCGCCCACAAAAATATATTAACCGTATACCATTTTACAGGGAGATTTCATAATCAAAATCGGTTTTGCCCCTTACTCGATAATATTTACCGTATACACACCAATTTTTTTTCCTACTAAACCTTATTATAAAACAAAAATAATTATTTCAAGTAAAGAATAAACATTATTGAATAAACCATTTTTTTTTTTATTGTTATAATAACAAACAGTAGGACAACGACCGGCGTGTTATCTCCCCGTGATTTGTGTCACGGTAAAATCTGTGTGCTCGAGCGAGACATCCTCACTTAAACGTGCTGAAATTACCGCGGTAAAATAAAACAACGTACTTTGAACAGTGTGAACATGTAATTATATAAATGTATACCTACTATACTTATCCTAAAAAACCCACATACAAACATTACAAATACAGATAACGTTTTTACCATTAAATTTCATAATAGGCCGATTCACTTTGGTTTTCATACTAAACGTGATCTGCTGAGCGTAAATTTGCTATGTTACTCACTTGTAAGACGGAAACAACAAATGGCCGTGTAGCGTCTTCTTAAGTAAAATTATTTAGTTCGCGACTCGTGTAGTCGCATCGTATTTCCACGCAAACCAAATTTTACAAAATTTGCATAGTTTTAAAACACCTTCATATCGTTGAATAATTAGTGTTAAAGTGTGAGCCACACCATATTTCTTAGATACAATGCCATACTTTAAACCTAATAAAACTTGTTTTTTGTGTTGTTATGTACTGATGTACTTTAATTTTTATTTAGTATAGAATAACTATTGAAGAAAATTTAATCAATTTCCAAGCGATTTACTTTTTTTTTACATAAGGCTTTAGGACCACTTTGAAAAAATTCCGTGACGGTCTGAAGGCGCCAGTCCACCCATACCCTCACCTATAAAGTCATTAACATTATATAGTGTCACTAACATAATATTATTATAAATTATAATTACCATAAAAAAAATAGTAAGAGAACGTTCCGAATATAATATTGTTTTGAACTGTAATAATATTATACATTTAAATATTTTTAATTTGAAAATAAGGGAGAATATTTATGACTCAATATTATTTAATATTCTACATTTATTGTTCTTTTAATGTTTTTCTGTAATTATAATTGAAATGTTGTAAATATAATAAATTCAAAACATACAAATAATATTCTATAAAAAATATTATTTCACGTTGATATTATTATCTTATTATAATATTATTATAGGGTTTTAAATTCAATATTACAAAAAAAACTTGGAGAGCACATTTCAAAGGCATTTTAATTTTAACATTACTTTTTTCAGTTTGTTATAATATTGTAATACTGTTAAAATCATAATATTAATTATTTGATCAAGTTCTAAAGTTATTATAATATTGATGTTAACAAATTGCTGTCTGGGTTGGTCACCCGTGACCACCCTTGTCTGGTCTGTTGGGATTTATAGCCTTGCCTGTGGAGGGTTAATATTGCTGTTGAAAAGTCACTGACAACGTGTGCTGTGAACTTTGTACCACACTGTTGTTCATAGAATTTTCGAAACTCTGTTAGCCAATCTGTTATCGCACTAGCAGTCTGCGTAGTCGACAGATATTCTGCTATTGGAATTATCCTCTTTTGCACACGGTGACAGCCTCATAATACAATAGTAATTTTCATTTCTTTTTCCTGTTTTGAATAACGTTGGATCTTTTGTAGTTTCTCTCACCACCCCGCCAGTCGCATCTACATGAATCGTAATACATTTTATTTTTCTTAAAACGTCTACTTGATCTTGACTAAATAAGTTTCAAAATCTTTCTCTTTTGGATCGGCTACATACTGAATAAATTCTGGAAAATTCTTTTTCAATAAACACATATCAACCCTGTCTTCAGCTGCTCGATCATTAAGACTCTTTTGCTCGTGAGACACCTTATAATATACACGATCAGACCTGATCAAGTTATCACACTTTAGTTTACTAGGAGATGCTTTTAAAATATATTTTTGACGTAAACTCTTCGGTGGGCAGTACTTTGACATTTGTTTTTGTATTAGTCGATTTTTTCCTTTCAAGAATGTAGTCAGTTTACCATAGTGGCTGTAATTGTGACTGTTACTCAGAACTGTTATTGTGCCGAACTATCATTTGGTTTTTTCTCTACCACAAGTTTAAGCTGCTTACAAAATTCATGTCGACATATACCATAACATGTTAAACCTTTCTTGGTAATATTTTTATTCTTGATAGTCAATACACAATAGTTATTTACAATTTCAAATTTTTGGTGTAACAACAAATTGTTTATTTCATATGAAATGACATTATTTTTTTCCATTGAGTTATCAACTATGTGCTTAAATTCTTCATTAAGTACCTAAGCTAATAGTTCCTTCCACAAAATTACACTTTCTGTAACACATTACCTTTTTCATTTTATTTCCGTCCTTTAATGACCTTACTTTTAAGGGATATACATTCTTTGAGTCCTTTGGCAACGCTTTCAGATCTGCTTCTGGTGTGTTACACACAGATATAGATTTAATTTTCTTTTCTGGGGTAAACAAATTTCCAGTAAATTAAACATTTAATCTACGCTTAGGGGTGGTTAACATTTCCTCATTGACATTAGTTGCTTTAATAGAAACTGTATTGTTATAATGGCTGATTTCTTCTGGCTTGTTACACACAATTATAGAGTCATACTTCTTTTCTGTGGTGTACAAGTCAGCTCCAGTAGAGGAAATATTGATTTTACATTTAGGGGTGGTAATCATTTCCTCGTTTATATTAATTTCTTTAATAGAAACGGTATTCTTATTATTATCAATTTCTTCCGTTGTATTACAGCAATCATCTTCAATTTGAATAGGAATACTAAACAAACCAGAGCTATATGTAATACAACTAACTTCATTGATTTCAAGAAAATTTTCATTCAAACCAATGTCCATATTATCTGCAATGTCATTACATGTATAATTGTTTTCCTTTTTAGGAGAATCATCTGTAAACAATTTTCTCTTTACATACACTACCGCACCCCTATTTAGTTCAGTTGTTTGACCTAACATACAATTTTTTTTTTTAGATAATTCTTTAGGATTATCAGCAATTTCATTTTCTTGGAAACTATCTTGATATTGCTGAAATATGTTGAGTTGATTTTTACGATTACACTTTATTTTTAATAATTTGCAAAGTGAATTTACAACCTCTGTCTCAAAAGAACAAAAATTATTTTTTGCATAACCATTGTCTTTGAGCATTTTAAGAAAGCGTGACTTATTATCTGACTTACCTTCTAATAACTTTCTGAGAGATGAATTGGGTCTTTTCAATGCATTTACTAAATTCTTTTTAGCGTTATTACAATTACCTTTATTTAATATAACATTACAAATATCACTTATTGCTTCATTGGAAACACTTATGTTTCCAAATTCTATTGTAGGATATTTTTCTTGGATATAATGTGCTATTTCTTCCAAATGTTTTAATACAGACATTTTAAAATAAAATTAATCTTACTCTTATAGTATGAATCTATCAATAGTGAAATAAATCCTTATATTATATCAACAATACTCTTATAGTAGGAACCTTCCTCGACTACTATTAAAAGTAAAATATATCCTTGAATTATATCTATAATACTATTATTTTTTTTTTTTATATATCCTTATATTATAACTATATTACTATTGTAGTAGGAGCCTTCCTCGACTACTATCAAAAGTAAAATAAATCCTTAAACTATAACTATATTAAAACTATTATACTATTATTTTTTTTATATCCTAATATTATAAATTATAACTATATTACTATTGTAGTAGGAGCCTTCCTCGACTACTACCTATCAAAAGTAAAATAAATCCTTAAACTATAACTATATTAAAAGGAACTATTATACTATTATTTTTTTATATCCTAATATTATAAATTATAACAGGTTAATTGTGAACGAGTAATTAGCAAATTAAAAATTATCAAAAATCGTCTACGTGCTTCATTAGATGACCGCTTTGATGCTTTTTTATTAATGTCTGTAGAAAAAGATATATTGAATGATTTAGAGTTTGAAGATATTTTGGAGTTTTGGACATTATTAAAAATTCAAATTACCTATCATACTTTATCCAAATTATTATCGTACACATAATTACATAAATATATAATTTATAAGATTTAATTGATTAATTTGTCATACTGGTACTTAGTGTAACTGATTTATACCCATATGTATATTGATATATTTTACATTCTCTTTCTAACCAACATAAAAAAGTTCCTAAATCATAATTCTTGTACTACTATACCATTGAGAAAAAAAAAATTGTTGTTAGTTTAAGTTGGGCCGATAAATGTAGGAAAATGGGCCGGTTGTTTACAGAAAATAGTGGGCCAAAACCCTTCCAGTCCGGCCCTGAGTAGGCCCGGCCTCTTGCCCGACGGTCGCTTGTGCACTAGACAATCGAGACACATGTTAATGTGTTGGCGCACGTAACGTCGTAACCGAGAGAACCAGTAATCGGCGGTAATCCGTGCGATGGTCCGTTCGAGTCCAAAGTGACCTCCGTGGTCGTGAGCTTCGATCACGATTCCCTTCCGCATTGTCTTCGGGATAACGAGTAATGGGCGCCCTTCGTATACGCGGTACAACACTCCCGACGATAACTCGAAATTAACTATCTCGCTCTTTTTGCACTCGCGGTCGCGTCGACACGAAACGCCTGGTCGGTAACGGACACGGCTTCAGATCGTTCGTCAGACTTTTCCGGGCAACGACCTCGAGTGTGTCGGTCCGAACCGCAATTAGAGCACTTCCTCGGACGTCGAGGTTTCGGGCAGTCCCTGGCGATGTGCCCCGCAGCGCGGCAGTTAAAACAGTAGAACGTCGATCGTTCACTTGAAACATCCGTTTTGGCCTCAGCCTTGTACGTCGGCGATCTAGCGGTAGCGCCAATCGTCGTTTTCGGCGGAACTGCGGGCACATCGTATGTCGATTTCGTGCCCAGCGGTTCAGTAACGGATTTTTGTTTGACATTTCGTGGCTTAGTGGACGTTGAATTAGCGGTGTCAAACTTTTCTTTGCGCTTCGCGCGCATGCTTTCCCAGTCCCGGATGTCCGACAGCAGGTCATCGCGGTTTGAGTGCGTACGACCGTACACCCAGTCGGTCAAAGGTTGGGACCTCAATCCCTCGAGGACGTATTCACGCGTGTCAACAAACGCCAGGCCGAGCGAGTGACATAGACCGATTTTGGCGTAGAAGTAGTCGATAGTCAGTTCATTCGGCTCTTGTATTCGTCTTTCAAGTTCTCGCCACAGATCCGCCTTCTGCAAGGTGCGCACGAACGTTGCCCTAAACCTGCGGACGAAGGTGTCCCAGTCGCGGAACTCTTCAAGCAGGTACCAGCTTCGCGCGGCTTCCACGACATGCGAACGGACGTACAGCAGTCGGTATCTCAGTGGCCACTGGTTAACTTGCGCCAACCCGTCAACTGAACTAATCCAATCCTCTGCTCGACCACTAGACTCGTGTCCCGTGAATGACCATATGGATGTTCCTACGTCTGGGAGTATACGATAATCGACCGCCGAAGTAGTCTGGGAGTTATCGTCAATTCTAGAAGTCTGTGATTGAACGGGCGGCAAAACGGCAGTCGACTCGAGTTTTCGCAGTCTTTCGGTTAGTTCGGCCACGGCGCTGAACAGTTCATTATACGTCGGAGCTTTCGGCCCTAGCTCGTTAGTCTTCAAAATGTTTCCATCGTCAGAATCACCCATCGTGACGTAGGCGGATACTAGTGTAAACAAACGTTATCGCTCAACGAAGGTAAACACTGATAGTAATCGCGATAACGACTTCGCGATACGGCGCGAACACGGTCTTAGAATATAAGGTCAGGAAAGTTTGGATAGGAACACACGCTTTTATCACGGAAAGAAATTGGAACGGGCGCAGTGCTGCGCTCTATTGGTAAAATAACTCCTGTAGTTTATACAAATTTGAAACTAAACTATTTATATTATTTATATATATTTATTGTAATTTATATTATATTCTAAAAAAAAAACCCGTGTTCTATACAAAATATAACTATACTTTAATAAGTACTTATAGTAAGGAACACTGGTGCACCAAATATTGCAAATTCAAAATGCCAAAAGTATGTTTTGTTTGCAAAAAAAACAAGGAAGGTATTGCAAGTTTTGAAGTAACTAAACAAAGACTTGCAAGCTGGAGTAAATATATTGATGGGTTAAATGTAGGTCACAGAATTTGTGAAAACCATTTTTCCCCAAATTATATTATAAAAAAAAAAATTGTGAAGGACGGCTTAGGAAACATCATTGCAGAAGTAAGATTACCTATTTAAAATTAGACTAATTACTCAATGATTATTAATACAGTATTAATTTTAATTAATTATTAATTATACTTCTAGCAAAAGTATAAAAATGCTATTCTTCTTCAGGGTGCCATCCCCAGCATTAAATGTGAAAATATTATACAAGAACTTGACACTAATGATGATTTAGCTATTCCCCTAGACAAGTCTGAAATGGTAAATCATTATAATATTTAAATTAGCTACTAGGTTAAGTATAAACATTTTACAGTCAAAGAAAATAGATTGATCCTTTAATTCTTAATTAAGGCCTTGTATTCTTGATTATTTTTAAATTTCAGAAACACATTTATACAAACAAAAGGTCAACAGCTTCAACATATGTGTTACCCGTACACAATGAGACAAAAAGAATTTGTTTGGATTCTAATAATATTGATGCACATAAAGTATCAGATAATTTCAATAAAATATTGAATGATATGAACAGTATTATAGTTCCATTTAATTGGTCCAGGATTCTCCCTGCTAACAAAAAAATGGTCATATTTAGCAAAGTATTTGTAAATAAAGACGTAGAACTACCTTATTTTGAAAGATGTGTTAGTGTACACGAAGATATGACAATTGAATGCAGGTATTTAAATAAAATTATAAATAATTATTCAATTTTGAATCAGTCAAATATGAGAGAACTAAATAATATTCAAAATCTGATTTATAATTTTGATTTGGCTAACATGTGTAGTGGTGTAAAAATACCTGAAGAAGACAGAAAGTACTTAACAAAGACAACTTACAAAGATACATCGGATAGTTTCAGACACATTAATTGCTCATTAATTTTAAATACAACAGTATCAAATCCAATTGATCTTAAGGCAATAAACAAAAATAAAAAACCAGAAAATTGTAAATTTTGTAAAAAAATATTGAATTTGATAAAAGAAAAAAAATCTAGATCACCAAGGTTAAAACGAATACACATCCAAGTTACTCCTAGCAAAAAGTTAAAATTAAAAGCCCTTCGTAACCGCAATAAACTTAATACAGAGTCAAAAAAAAGAATTCAAAACAAATTATCTAAAATACTCATTGAATTTAAGGAATTGAAAATTAAATTTAGAAGTTTAGAACATGATACAATAGTTGAAAAATTAATTAAAAACAACACTCCTCCAAATCACTTGTTGTTAATAAAAGAAATATTTGCTGCAGCAGAAAAAAAGGGCCCTAAAGGAAATAGGTATACTGAGGATTGGATAATGTTGTGTATGCTACTCCACATCAGGTCTCCATCTGGGTATTCATTTATGAGAGAAAATAAATTACTCCCCTTGCCATGTATCAGGTCCATTAGAAATTATCTGCAATTAATTAAAACATCTTGTGGTTTTGACGAACAATTTTTACAACTATTTGCAAAACACCTAGAAGGAAAAGAAGAATATCAAAAACATGGTTTACTAATTTTTGATGAAATATCCTTACGCCAGAGTATTTCTGTTAACACCAAGACTCTAACATATTCCGGACTGATTGATTTTGGGAGTGAAGATTTACCAAAGGCAAATGACTTGAGTGATAAAGCAACTCATGGCTTAGTGTTTATGTTTCAACCTTTGGCTGACTCATACACTCAGCCAATTGCTGTGTTTGCCTCAAAAGGTCCAGTAGCAGGTTTAACACTAACTCAGTTAATTATAAAAGCAGTAGTTTTATTGGAAAATGCTGGAGCAAAAGTGCATGGGTTAGTGTCTGATGGTGCCCAAACAAATAGGAAAGCGTGGAAAGAGTTAGGAATTCGTGGCCATCTGAATGACTGCCAAAGCCACGTAGAACACTTCGTTGACAGTAGTAGGAAATTTTTTGTATTTTCAGATACTCCACATCTGATTAAAAATGTTCGCAATCGTTTATACAATAACAAAGAATTATTGGTAATTTTAAATTTTAAATGTTTAAAAATATTATTAAACATTTTCATAACATCATACTTTTTATAATAGGTAAATCCAACTGAAGGTTTGGTGAAATGGAAACACTATGTTTTATTGCACGAACATGATAAAAATATATGTGACAGCCAACTAAGAGTGTGCCCCAAAATTTCAGACAATCATTTGAAATTATTGAATTCTTGTTTGAAAATGCGTGTCCGCCTAGCCACCCAAGTAATATTTTACAATAATCTACAAACTTTCGAGACATTTACACCATATCTATACTAACCTTTCTTTATATATCCAGGTATTCAGTAAGTCTATGGCTGATGGACTAAGATTCTATCAGAAGCATAAAGTTCCTGGGTTAGAACACTGTGATGCCACAATTAATTTCACTCTAATTATGAACAACATGTTTGATGCCTTAAAATGGCTGGATGATTGGGAGGCTCGGACTGGAGTTGATGTCACTGATAATCAATTCTTAACAAAAAGTACTTCTGAAGGTTTACGTGTAACACTGAACTCTTGTATTGAATTAACAGATTACTTAATAGACAAATTTGGATTTAAATATGTTCTATCTGGAAAAATAAACCAAGATGCACTTGAAGTACTTACAATACAGTGTAGACATTTTATAAATTTATACTAATATCTATTTACATTTTACAGAGATTTTTTGGTACAGTTCGAATGGCATCTGGGGCTAATGACCACCCTGCCACCCCTACCTTCCTTCAAGTATATAAATTACTTTCTGTATATTCTATTATAAAACCTCCAAAATATGGCAACTGTTCTATCAATATTATGGACCCTGGATCCAATCTAATACGTTTATCAGACATCACGAGTATATATCATAATGATAAAAAATCACCGACAGCCTTAGAAAACTTGAAAAACAAGCTAGATACATTAATTGACGATGGAACATGGGAATTCACTGACATCATTGAACATGATTACGCTCATGCACAAGTAATTGACTGCTTAAAATATTATATCACCGGTTACTTGTGTTTTCAAATTGGCAAAAAGACACAATGTGTTACATGCAAGCAAGCATTTGTCACACACTTGCCACCTACAAATAATGTTAATGCAGCAGAATTAACAAACTTAAAATCAAAAGGAAAACTTACTCACCCAAATATTATATTTTTTAAATTCATAAGTGCTGTAGAAGATTGCTTTATGAAAAATATTAAGAGCCCAGACGTCTATAATAAAACTGTAGATGATTTAATTGAACATTTTCAAAGATTTAATTTTCCATGTCCCAAACACAAATATGAGATTTTTGCCTATGCAATTAAGTATTACTTGAGTATGCGAATGAAACAATGGTCAAGAACAGTGAATCGGGAAATTGTTAAAACGAACACAAAGAAGAAAAAACTAGCAAAATTTTGTACAACATAGTTTTTAACAAAATATTAATAGGAATTATCACCAATTATGAAGCCATGAATCAGTGCACTATAAAAAGATAAATTATAATAATATAGGTACAATATTCTAATGTTATTAACTATATAATTAACATTTAACGTAAGTTAACATTAAACATTAAACTATAACGATTAAAATTTTAAAAATCGTATACCTATTTATTTACTTAAATGTTGACTACTTATATCATGACATCAAATATTGTGTAGTTTTATAAACCACTAGAGCGCAGCAGAGAGCCCGTTCCGGTTTGCTCCGTAATAAAAGCGTTTTTGTAAGTATGTATTTTCAGTTGAGTTGCACGGGCCTGGGCGCGAATGTGGTCGTGATAACGACTTCGCGATACGGCGCGAATGTGGTCGTGATAACGACTTCGCGATACGGCGCGAACGTGTTCGCGATAACAACTTCGCGGTACCGGTTGCGGTTACGTCACAGCACGGTCGCGATACTGATTAACCTCAAAAACCACGGGTTGGACTTTGAACTCAACCGTCGGCCCTCGGCTGGGTAAAACACGTGACACGGTTTGCACGGCGAACTGCGCGAACCACGACGAACTACGCGAACTACGAAAACTACGCGTGGGGCGATTCACGTTCGCGGGGTCGGCACTTCACAACTTCGCGATCACGATAACTTTAACGGTCGCGGCGAAACGCAATAACGATTGCGCGTAACGGTCGCACAAACCACGTGATGGATACGATCGACTCTTAATACAAAAGAGTCGTATCCCACTTCTGAATTGTAAGCGCGTTGATGAACGGGGTGTCAGGATTTAATAGTAACACAACGCTTAAATAAGTTATAAAGGTATTACGGTTTATTACAAATGAGAAAACACAACTATAGGAATTACTAATAACCGAACGGCAGTTCGTCCGCGGACACATACGTCGTGTCCAGCGGTTACGGCGAAACAGGACGATACGCCCGAAGTGTAACGGCGGAGTCAGACTGGTCGGCCGGACGACCAGTGCTGCCCGAGTGTACATAAAAAAAATAAATCGCTAACAGTTCAAATATTTATAAAGGTGTCGTTAATTTTTTACAATTTATTAAGTTTTGGGAAATTTGAATTTTTTTACCCTATATAGTAGAACATAATAATTAATATACAACCACACATTTCCCTTATAATAATAATTGATAAAATATTCAAATTTATAAAAAAAAAACATAGGTAATAGATTATTATATTTATTATATTATTATAGAATTACAAAAAAATTAGATATTTATTCTTATATAATACATGTAGCGCACGCGTCTACAAATTATATATATGTAAAAAAAAATTTTAATACCTATTCAATACTAAAAAGTTAACCCATATGTCAGAAAATCGTGTTACACACTTGCACCCGTGTATAATATACCAATATAACTTTATATTTTAATTTATGCCAAGCTACAGTCGTGAATATTAATATATGTGGTTACTTACCTCCAAACAGCATGTTCAACTTCATAAAATATATTTAGAAATATATTCTATTCGTGGTTGAAAATGTCAGATAGATCGACGTCCGTCCATGATAACGATCAAGTGAGGAACGTTCGAAATGTAGGTATAGTTTCAAGTTGGAAATATTGGAATCATTCGATAGAAATTATGTACATTATGGCTAAATTTAGCATTTTTCAATAAACGACACGCCTATTTTTTTTTTATCTATAATTTAATACTATTGTTACACGACCCGTATAGCCGTATTTAATTACGGCAATAATATTATATTCGTGTCGACGAATTGTTTATTTATAGATCGTGTACGGATGCGATAAGACGAACTGGTTTCGTCATTAGGTGACGTATTGCTGTTTATGCGCGAGATGTGGGTACTAGGACGGTTTTGGAATACTACCGCCACTACAGCAGCTGCTGCTAAGGACCGCTATAAATTCATCACTTTTTTTACTAAAAACATACTTTTGTAATTCCAATAGTACATCGGTCTCGTTGGCAGTAGAAACATGATTTTTATGCCAAATTGAACATGAGAATTTTATCTAATAACTTTTGGAACAGATTTATTACATTTTTTTTCAAACTGATTTTATTTGTATTTGAAATTTGTAAAAATTAAAGTTTTTTCAAAAAATTATATGTATCCGACAAATTGAGTTATCAAAAATATTTTCCATCAGTTATTTGTTAAACTTCTCATGTTTAATTCAGTACCAAAACCATGTATCTACGAATAACGAGGTCCGAGTACTATAAGAACTACAAAAACATTTTTTCCTACTGTTACGGCCTCTTGTGCATAACATATTATTATTGAAAGTTTCCCCCTACCAATTTTTTTGAGTTAAGTATTTCTCGGCCGGGTTTTAACTTTGGGGGACCATTTCTTCACCAGACGTTTCGGTTTAGGCGCTTCTATAACGTACACCCGAAGTCGGGGGCTCTTGAACCCCCCCTGGTTTATTTTGGAAAACGTTTAGTTTTTATACAACATTTCTGAAACTCGTGATTTAGATAATTTGGAGGTCAGTGTTCAAATTCGGGATCTTGTTCGAGACCGTAGGACCCTTTTTCCTCTGTTTTTGGGGCTTCAAAAATTTAAAATTTTCGTTTTTCGGGGTTTTCGGCATGGACACTTAGTTTTTGGGCGTTTTTATTGTCGGAGAGGACTTTGCGCCGAATCGATGGATAAAAATATCGAAGTCATCCGACCTTTGGTTCGGAACTTATGATTTTTCGTGTGTTTCTGTACTTGGAAAATTACGTAGTAACGAGTATTTTGGATTTTGGGTTTTCGTTTGATAACTACGAAACTCAAGATTCTGATGTTTTGACGTACGAAGATTCAAAAAGGATCTATGGTCGAAGTACGACGTTATTTTCCCCATAATCGGAGAAGCAAAAAGTTGACAAACGCATTACGAGATTATTCGTATAACCAGACGTCTCCGTATGGTGTATGTCTGTTTAACGTTTTAAGTACCTAATAATTATTTTGAACTTTTTTTTCGCATTTATATTAGTAGGCGTGTGGCTCATTATTTATTAATGTAAATCGATAGGTATATAAGAATAAAATATTAAAACCTATAAAATAATAGGTCAATTCACTTTAATATAACTATTATATATTTGAGCTAACAACACTAAAATTGGAGCGGCTGGAAATACATTTTTAAGTACTTGCTCCTTCAATATTGGTTGTATCGTCTTGAGATCTTCGAGGTCCGATGCAGTGACACCTCTAGATCATATTTCTGTTCTCAAAAAAAGACCTAAATCGACCTTAAACTTGAAAAATTGACAAAAGATGATTTCCCGCCTAATTGTTTTTTGAATAAATAAAATCTTGAACACGTAATTTACCTCCTTAATAATTGAGTTAAAAAACTGTTATCAGCCGGCAAATGATCTAGGTACCCTAGAACGCTTCTACTTCGATCATTGAAGGTTTTATAAAGATAGGACTTTTATTGAAGGATTTAGGTTTTCGATATATTACGAATTTGGAAAACCTATCTAAAAACCAAGTATGACATGATAACTAATAGATAAATAATATAAAATTAATATGGATATGCTATAAAAATTACAAAAATAAATACCTAGTCTTCATTTCACATCAAGCATAATATTAAATCAACTAAATGTTGAACCCAAAGCAAAATAATCAAACATAGTTTATAGGCTAGGGCACCATAGGTACATCCCAGATTGTCAGGACACACCCGAGGAAGTGTCTCAATGAAAAGACTCTATGATTAGAAATTTTCTTTGTTCAGGGTTAATACTAATTTAAAAAAAAAAAATCAGAATATTGAGTATTTTTTTTCAATTAAGTATACGTCTGTGGTCCGTTTAACGTCTTAAGTAATAATTATTTTGAACTATTTTTCACATTTATTTTAGTAAGTGTACAGCTCATTATTTACTAATGTAAATCGATATGTATGCAAGGAATGCCGGAAAAAATGACCCCGTTAATAAAATCATACGAAAAACATGATTGTACGTAATTATTAATTTTATTTGTAAAATAAACGCACTATATTTGACAACAATGTATTGCATGGTATAGGTATTATGAGTAAGTTTCAAAAACGAGTAGTTGATATAATATATTATATATATTTATATAATATATTAGTATATTACCTGGGTAATTTACGAAATAAACGTAATATAAATAATATTTTCACTTTATCTAATAGGTATGGGTAGTGAATAGTGTACCTATACCTTACTTATCTATCTATTTTACGAGCCTGTACAATATTATATGGGGACAACAAATACCTAATAATTTTTGTTATTATAAACTTATGGTTCGACTATGAAGACGTTGTAGCATTGTACCAACCAATATCAGAGGTTTTTAAACTGTTTCGTATTTAAATTACATTTAAATACATTTATTAGTAATATCGTAAAATGTTCAAAATTTCAAATGCCCCGACAGCCCGGCCCACATAAGCCGGCCCGGTGTGCTACGGTACCTAGCACACCTGGCCAGTCCATCCCTGGTCAATTCACTCTATAATATACATATTGTATAATATTACAAACGTTTGGAAAAATCAACATGAAAAAAGTGTCTGAAAAAACAATTGATCATTTTGTTAAAACCCAAAATTTAATTAAGTAAAGAAGTTTTAAGTTTAAAACCCGGTTAGTACCTAAAACCCGGGTCCTGGATACACAGACAGCTGCGTCACCATATACGCATAGATAATACATAATGGATAGGACATTCGACTCCAAACTGCATGCCAGAAGAGCACCAGGGTAAACATAGCGGTAACTGTAAGGTATAACTTGGTTACCTAACGTCATTAACTACGATTAGTGATAATAACACAGATAACACATAAATCTTAATTTAACACCTGTTGAATCGTTGACTGTTTTGAAATTCGTACTTTGGTTTTATAGTTTTATTCTATGCCAATTCATTATTTTAAATTATAAAAATACTTTTGATTACTGGAAATTGTATTTACAATGGTACACAAATGTGTAGTCTGCCGGAAAAATTCCAAACAAAACGAAAACATATCATTTCATTTGTAAGTAATAAATATTGTATATTTTAATAATTATATAGGTGTTTAATATCTCCGTACACTTTTATAGATTTCCTAAAGATTACAGAAAGCAATTGTGGATGGACGCATTGCAATTAAAACAAATAAGTGCTTGGAACCGTATCTGTTCAACACATTTTAGTTCAGAAAGCTATGTAAACAATGGGTCACGTAATGTTTTAGTCAGAGATGCTATTCCATTTGCTACAAGAGAGTTGTTATTAATTTTAAAATGTTTTATTCCACCATACATGATAAATTAGTAATACATTGTAATTTACATTATTTCAGTTTAAATTTCCACAACGATGAAGTTTTGGGTAAATCCATAGAACGATCACCCCTTATGGAATCCAGGTATCTAATAATTACTAAAAATTTTAAAAGCTTGTGTAAAATAAAAAATAAACTATTGTTTATTAGATTAAATACATCACAAGCAGTCTCAAACACACCAGTGCTTACACAAATTATAAATTCTAAAAAGTAATCACAAATAAATTTTTAAAATATTTAAAGTTTCTTATACTGAGTGTGCATTATTTTTCAGAAAGTTGTTTGATTCTGCTTCACCATCAGCAAAAAAAATTTCATCAAACTCAAGTCGTTTTGGAGACTTTGAGGTAGACGATTTTGGCAGTCCAAATAGAGCACAAAAAAATTTTCCAATAGTACAAGCTACAATTACAGGCCTGAAAAAAAAAATAAATGTTTAGCAGAAAAAAATCGCCGTTTGGAAACTAAAATTCAGTCTCTGCAATGTATTATCAATGATCTCCATTCTAGGTCACTTATTTCAGATGCAGGAGCAAATAATTTGAAGGTTAATTTTTAAAACATAGTGTATCTTAGATTAATGATTGTTGCAGTTTCACTTAAATTTTTAATTAGTTATTTTTATCATACAGGATGATTTTTTCAGCATGCTCACTCTAATTTATGCTTAAAGTATGCCTATTATATTCAAATCCTGATTTTTGGAATGTACTAGATAATGTACTAGTATTCTTTAGGTAAGGTATACCTAAACATTCTAAAAATTAGAATTTGAATAAATCTAGTATTAAAGAGAAAAATGAGTGAGCATAATTAAAAAAATTATCCTGTATAAATTATATTATTTTAATATATTTACTTTTGATATTGAATAACTGCAATTTTTATTCTGGGATATACTTTAATTTTTGTTTGATGAGTATGTTACCTATAAACTAATAGCAATACATCTTAGTAATAGAAGGTAGCATAATATAGTCAAATGTTGTGTTCTGTGATTGGTAAGAATTTGGTGGTATAACGGAACTTGATCAGGGTCTTAACAATGGATAATATATTAATATATATACATAATATTTTATGTTCTTCTTAACCCTAGAGTACACGCTTCACGGTCAAAAAGACCGGGCTTTTAGAATTTTGTTCATTGTTTCAAAAATACGAAATATTAACCTAACCCAATCTAGGTACCTTCTAATTAGATGATAAACTAACATTAGATACAATTCCTAACTGTATACGATTTGTTGCCTGTACTATAGAAGGGTTCAAAGTCCATTACCTATTAAAACACGGTCTAAAAGACCGTGTGCGTGTTATACTGTGACATTGACACACAATTTAATTTTAACTTTCTTATCGCCGATAAGACGTTATTCCTTATCGATAATAAAACGTAAATGAATATTTTATTTTCATTGTGACTGGCAAGATTGTTTTTAGTTGACATTGGTTCGCCATACCGTGTGTAACTACGAGTATAATACAGATAAAACATTTATAAATGTAAGTATCAGTACATTTTATTTTTAGCAGGTATTTTTTTGTTTTAGTCGCACTATATTTTCAATATATTTGTTTTACATTATATTATTTTTTCATTAGAATGGACGACGATCAAATTCGTTTACTTATTGAAAATATTGATGATGGAAATACCGAGTTTGACGAAATCGATGGCAGTGATGAAGAAGGAGTTGATGAGGTAGAATATATAAGTCATAATAGTGATTCTGAACAATCTTTAGACGGTGATTATGAAGATAATGGCACCTATTTATTTTCTAATTGGTCGAACGGACCGCAATTTATAGGGAAAGATGGTAAAACTTTTTGGAAATATTGTCCTCCACCAAAAAATAATAGAATAAGACGACATAATATAGTTAGACATATACCTGGAGTAAAAGGGCTTGCTAAAAATGCAAATAGTGTTGAAGAATCGTGGAATTTATTTTTTCCAGATTCTATTTTGGAACAAATTGTTACATACACAAATATTTATCTTGACCGTATAAGACCAAAGTTTGATCGTTCACGTGATGCAAGACTGACTAGTCTAACAGAAATAAAAGCGCTAATCGGTTTATTATATTTAGCAGGTGTTCATCAGTCTTCTCATGTGAATATAAAGGACTTATGGGCTATGGACGGTACAGGTATTGAATATTTTAGATTATCGATGGGTATGAATCGCTTTTATTTATTACTTCGAGCAATTCGTTTTGATGATATAACAACACGTGCAATGAGACAATCTGTAGACAATCTAGCACCAATACGATCATTTTTTGAAGACTTTGTTAGAAGATGTCAAGACTATTATGAATTGAATAATTATGTTACAATTGATGAAATGTTAGAGTCTTTCCGAGGTCGTTGTCGTTTTAGACAATATATTCCTAATAAACCCGCAAAGTATGGCCTCAAAATAATTGCATTAGTAGATTCAAATACATATTATTCATATAATTTGGAAATATATGCAGGGAAGCAGCCAAACGGGCCCTATCACGTAAATAACAGTGCTTGTAGTGTCGTGGAAAGATTGATTAGGCCAATTTCTGGTTCAGGTCGAAATATTACGTGCGATAATTGGTTCAGCAGTATTCCTCTCGCAGAAGACCTTCTCAATAACCATAATTTGACCATGGTTGGAACCACGGTTATCTACACAGGTTGGCGCACGGCGTGTTATCGATGGTCGATGCGGCGAACGCAGTGAACTAAAGCGCTAGTAGTCACAAGGCCTAACTGGTTACCGGCTGGACGAGTTCACTCGTGATGAAATAATTCTAATCGTGATTATAAATTATAATTTTTTAATTACTATATTTGAAAGCTGAGTACTTAATTAGTATCTAATGTAATTTAATTACATAAAAAAATAATTCCCCCAACACTTGACTTATACTTCGAAAAACTCTCTAAATGGCTGACATCAGCAAATAATAATTAATGACTACAAGAGTCTTTCTTACCCAGTTATAATTTATTTTATTTATAAAATATCTGTAAAATAAAATATCAAATAAACATAATATGTTATTATTACTTTGTTCATTACTTATTCTTTATGTAATAAAACCTATTTAGTAGTTGGTTAATACTTAATAACTAATTTTATACCTAACTAATTTACAGTTTATAATAATTTTATTTTTGTTTTTTCATCCCAGTAAAGATTCTTGTAGCCTGAAAACCAAAAAAAAAAAATAATGAAAAAAAGGTAATATATTTGTTAATTCAGCTTTGGATGATGCATTATGATCACTGTCCAATGATTTACTGATATTCAACTCACCAACAGATGCTAAATACATAAATAAAGGAATACATATACTATAATATACCAACTTACATAATTTATATTTATTTCAACTTATGAACTAAATTTAAAGCTATATTAAAACATAACTTTACATTTTATCTTTAGATAATTTAATTTTACTTAATTTTAATATTTCTTAAATACTACTGAATATTGAATATAATAACTAACTAATTGTTATAAAATTAACTAATTTTTTTGTACCTTTTCTGTGTTGCTTTTGTAGCCTGAAGTACATCCAACTATACAACACTTAGCCACCATCGCAATAAAACTACCTACTACCAATTAAGTAATGACAAAAAGACATACAGTCATACAGATTACAGAACAATATTGTCGAAATTAGAAAATTATTTTGTTCGTCTTTTTCGTGCAGTTATCATGTTATCTCCAGGTTAGGTGTCGGTTGTGTTCTTATCACCTTTTCACGGTCTACAATAATTGTGTAATGTTATTAATTCGTATTTTTAGTCGTTTGGACGATATTAACGATTTGAATAAAAAATCTTCGATTTCCCAGTACATACAAATGTAAACGTAGGCCCACTGACTACTAGCGCTAATAGTTCACTACGGTCACCGCATAGACCACACGTCTGCATTAGCATCATAGTGGCGTGCGCCAACCTGTGTAGATAACCGTGGTTGGAACATTACGTAAGAATAAGAGAGAAATACCACCAATTTTTGTTCAAAAACTCAAAGAGCGGCCGAATGAAAGTAGTATTTTTGGTTTCAAAAAAAACATGACTTTAGTGTCATATAAACTGATTGACTGACTGAACAATCTGACTGAACAATCTAAATTGTTTTAGTTATATCAACTATGCATAACGATGATAGCATTGATACTGACTGTGCTAGATCAAAGCCTGAAATGATCAAATTTTATAACTCGACCAAAGGAGGAGTCGACACTGTTGACCAAATGAAAGGAAAGTATTCCGTCTCAAGAAACAGCCGGCGTTGGCCATTGACAATATTTTTTTCTGTTCTAAATATTGCGGGCATAAATAGCCAAATTATTTATGCTAGTAACACTAATGCAAAAATTGTTCGCAGAGAATATTTAAAATGTCTTTCAAAAGCATTAATTTATAAATATATGTTGGAAAGAGTACAGATAAAAAACATTCCAATGAATATAAAAGTTCGAATACGTGAAATCACAAATGCTATAGAGGAACCAGTACAAAAGACGTCAAATGCTCCTGGAAGATGTGCATTTTGTAATTGAGGGGCGACATTTCAAAACGTACTATTTCCAAAATTGAAGAAATTGAGTTATATATTGATTCTTATGGAAAAAAAGGCGGGAAATCTAATGGCGTGGTCAAATTGAACCAAAACGCACTATTTCCCTTGTTAAATTGAAGTTGTTAATCTGTTATTGTGGCACAACGTACTATTTCCATGTCAAATATTAGGTCAAAACGAACTATTTACAAATTGCATCAAAACGTTCTATTTCCTGTGTTAAATAGGAGTTTGGTTTAGAAATATGCGACAAAACGTACTAATTCCTAATATTTTTACAAAACGAACTATTTCCATATTACTTCAAAACGTACTATGTTCTATGTTATAAAGATAGCAAACGAAATTGAAGTAAACACAAAACGTACTACTTCCAGTTGTTTGAAAATACATAAAATATATTTTGTAGATTTTTTATAATTAATTCATTTATATAAATTAACTGTGCAAATTAATTTGAATGGTTTATTTATTTATTTCTACATCTAAAAACATTATCATCATACACCAAGAATTGTGATTATTGATAGTAAATTGCGCCAAAAGTGTTGATGGTCAGTGATAACACCTATCATATTCATTTTATTCATCTCAAAAACTCAAACCACGGCCTTAGACTTTGTAATAGTATAGTATAATATTATTATAATGTATAAATCAAGAAGTGTGTAGTATAGTATAGTGGTATACCAGAAAAAGTTGAAGTGTTAAAGAGAAAATGCAATATTGCTTCAATGTTTGATCTTACATTGTTGCCCCAAACCAATCACGTAAAACTTCCGAAGCAAAACGATGTAAAAAAACTGCTTAAATTTTTTCAAATTCCCGATGATGCAAAACAATTTTACGAAGATATTTTTAAAAATACATCTGAAGAATCAATAAATGAAGTTCCTCTTTATGACGAAGATGATGATTAAATTATATTTTATTAAGTTCCTCATTGCATTATATGCATAATAAATTATTATTATTAAATGGTATTTTTTATTTTTAAAAGTAATGTTTTAAATATTTTATAAATTTACTAACAAGATGTTGAAGTTTTATGTTTTATTATTTTACTTACTGTTTTTGTTTTTAATTTTTAAGTTACATACTCAATAATATTGAAGTTCCTATTTATGACAAACATGATTAAGTTCCTCATTGCATTATACCTATGTATAATTATTATTATTAAACAGTATTTTTTATTTTTAAAAGTAATGTTTTAAATATCTTATAAATTTATTAAGAAGCTGTTGAAGTTTTATGTTTTATTATTTTACTTACTGTTTTTGTTTTTAATATTTAAGTTACATACTCAATAATATTGAAGTTCCTCTTTATGATAACGATGATTAAGTTCCTCATCGCATTATACTTATGTATAATTTTATTATTATTATTAAACAGTATTTTTTATTTTTAAAAGTAATGTTTTAAATATTTTATAAATTTATTAACAAGCTGTTGAAGTTTTATTTTTTATTATTTTACTTACTGTTTTTGTTTTTAATTTTTAAGTTACATACTCAATAATTAAAAGACTGAATTATTATTATACAAAATTATTATTTTTATTAACATGTATACATTTTATGAATAAACAAGGTTTTATTTAACAAAGTGTTAAAGTATTTTTTCATTAGTTTTTATATTATAAAGACAATTATGTTACATGTTATGAGATAGGTTCCTAGTTAAATAATTTTAATGTTGAATGTTGATGATATTATGAAATCAATATAAAATATTATATTCCAGGAAATAGTACGTTATGGTAGAATATAGAAATATATAAAGCAAAACGAACTATTTCCATAAATCAGACCAAAACGTACTATTTGTCGGAAATAGGACGTTATGATGCAATTTAGTAATTAAAATTATGAATTACTACATTAAAACTAAAATTTTAACAATAAATGACATCATAACTAAAATCACTGAATTTTTATGAATTTTATGATGTTTTTATGATATTTCCACGAGTTTCTAGTAATACAGAACAGAAAATCGTGATTTCTGAAAAAAGTGTAAAATGGAAATAGTACGTTTTGAAATGTCGCCCCTCAATTGGAAAAAAAACCGAAAAACATCGAATTTGTGTAACGAGTGCCAATCATATATATGTAAAGAACATACAGCGCCTTCGATTTGCCAAAACTGTTCACAACGAACGATGGAAGATGATTTTTTTTAGAATAAAATATTTTATATTATTAATAATCTAATCTTCTTATATAATAAAACGCTAATAACGCGTATAAGATCCGCGGGGAGCGCTGACGGCACTCCGCGTTTCTTCCATGACGACCAATCACAATACTTCCCGCGCGTTCCCTATAAATTCCGCTCGCTTATCTCCCATTTCCTTATCGACGAATATTTTCGAACATTATTATTATTATTAAAAAAAAACCCGTGTTTTTCAATTTTTTGACGTGATAATAATAACGTCTTATAAATCGATTACCCCGCGACCGTCGGGCGGAGTGGGGGGACCCATTAAACGAGTAATTATTTTTGACGAAGTATAACTTAGCCGGTATTCGACTTAGAGACCCCGTACCAATGGGCATCTCAATTTTTTAGGCCCCAGATGAATTTTCAACATTAGGGAACCAAAGCCCCCACCCCCCACATTTTGAGTTGAGTATAATTCGGCCGGAATTCAAGTTAAAGACCTCGGACCAAGGGGGAACCCATTCTTTTTATGAATACTACCGTTTTCCGCTTTAGGGAACGGGGGCACCTCCACCCCCCCTTTTTGGAAACGAGAGTAGGTACCGTGTAGGTATCGCTATATACAGGCATAAATACATGTGTCGAGGCGTTTTTTGGGGAGCCGTCACTGCGTTATCTTTCCTCCTTATCACTTTTCACGGTTTTGACCATTTTTCACAATTTTTTTTCAACATTTTTGAGGTTTACCCCCCTCGGGTGCCTCGGGAGGGCCCGTTTAAACCTTATTCGCGTTCCTCTGTAAATTTATAGACGGCGCGCTGTCCTACTTAATTCCCGGCCGGCCCGCGGCGGCAGATATCGCGTGCGATACGAGCGCCGCCGTCGCGCGTGTTTTTTGCCGTATTTTTTAAAAAATTCGAGTTTTATCCCCTTTCGGTCGTATCGCCCTCCCCGTTTGGATCTTATTCGCGTTCCCCGCTAAATTTATAACCGGCGCGAGGCCCTACTTTTTCAAAAACGAGTCCCGGCAAGGAGCGGCGTCGCTTAAACGAGAGTAGGTACCGTGTATGGTATCGCTATATACAGGCATAAATACATGCGTCTCGAGGTTCGATTTTCTTCGCGAATCTCGCGACGGTCGTCCGCTCACCGACGCTGTCGGATCGCCCGCTCAAACTCCCTTTGAACCTCTTCTAAACGGCGTTCGCCTTTCGCGGGGACGGCAACGCGGCTTAAGAGTCATAGATTTGACTCAGGTTTTCATCTCAGTAGGTAGTTTGGTAGGTTAGGCGTTAGAACAGGTGACTCGAGGGTCGTGGGTTCAAACCCCCCGGCCCCCGGGAATATACGATAATTTGCGGCGGCCGTGATAAATAAATTTTTTTTTTCGTCGTTCGCTATCACTTCCGTCTTATCATTTTTAACGTAAATGTTCCGATTTTTTTCAAAATTCGAGTTTTAACGCCTCTACTGACTTCGGACCTCCCCGTTGAAGACTTACTCGCGTTCCCCGTCAAATGATTTAGCAGAGCGGACAGTGTCTTTATTACTATACATGGGCGTGAATATATTATGCGACGAAGAGTTCGATTTCTTTTTTTTTCAAAAATTTGAGTTTTAGCTCCTTTTGGTCGTATTACCCTCCCCGTTTGAATCTTATTCGCGTTCCCCGCTAAATTTATAGCCGGTGCGCGGCCCTACTTTTTCACAGACGAGTCCCGGGAAAGAGCGGCGTCGCGGAAAAGGGAGTAGGTACCGTGTAAGTATCGCTATATACAGCAATAAATACATGCGTCGCGTCGTTTTTTGCTGTTTTTTTCTAAAATTCGTTTCTTGGCCCGTTTTAGTGGTATTACCGGATTACCCTGCCTGTTTGGATGTTATTGGCATTCCCCGCTAAATGTATAAGCCGCCGTCGTCAGTACTTCGCTCGAGTCGAGTTCCGCGGAGGAGATCGGGGAGCGGACAGTGTTGTTATTACTTTATACGGAAATGAAAATATGCGACAAAAAGTTCGATTTTTTCATACACACTTTCATACACATAATACATAAGTCATAACACAATGATGCACCATTATAATTATGCAATTATAATTACTAAATAATTTAAAACATCATATGACATTTAATAAATTGGTAGGTAGGTACATCATATATTATATACAGACATACAATCTAACAGCAAAATATTATGATAGTAGGTACTTACGAAGATAAGTGCCAAAAAATTGTATAGTGTATTAATTTATACATACCTACGTTTAATATGATAGTATTACATTTCAATAAAATTTGTTATTCACCAATATAATTATCTATTTGTTAATTTGATTTAATTCTCATAATTAAATAAATATACATGGTAGGTATATCAGATTTGAACGGCCGTTTCGAGCACTTTTCGCTGTAGGCGGATTGTCCGTTCGGGAATCGACTTTCACCCGAGATGACTGATAGGCGATAGCTAGACAATCAAACTCAGAACCCGAATTTCCGATTTCAACATACATACGAGAATCGGACATACACGCCCGGTGCATGGTCTGCGATCCGACGTAGTCGGATTGCCTACCTTACTAGCTACTTGCATACGAGCGACTTACACCCCCACTGCATCCGACACTCGGGAATCGACTTTCACCCGAGATGACTGATAGCTAGACACTCAAACTCAGAATCCGAATTTCCGATTTCAACACACACACACACTCCAGAACCGGACATACACGCCCGGTGCATGGTCTACGATCCGACGTAGTCGGATTGCCTACCTAAATAGCTACTTGCATACGAGCGACTTACACCC